CTCAAATGAATGCAGTTCATCCTAAAAGAACTGGGAACATACCGGGATTCACATCTCTACTGCGCTGCAAAAGCCATTAAAAAAAAGGTTCTAGGGAAGGAATATTTAAAACTGTACTTATCTACTTTAACATGGCTTCTGCAGTAATTTTTTTAACTTAAATCTAATTTTGACATCTCTCATATTTGATTAAGGGTTTTGCACTTTTGTGAAACTTTTTATACAGCTTGCACAATTCTGCCAAGTCACAGTGGTTTTTGTTGTTGTTGTTGCATTTGCTTTGGCAGAGTTGTTTGCATTAATCACCCAATTGTGCTCCGCTTGTTCTGTAAGAGTACTTTGTTTCACAAATGAAAATTACACTAGTGTAGTGCAAAGACACTTATACAAATTGTGAAAACCTCAAGATCAGCACTATTCTGCTGCTGGAGGGGGAGTTAACAGTACGGAGCGTTGACATATCAAGAGAATCTGTCTCAGGAAGAATGAGTACAGTAGAGCCACAGTATCTGCAGTATCTCCCTCTAGTGGCCAGTTCTGGTAAATATACACTAGCTATACATACAGAGGGCCACAGTATCTGCAGTATCTCCCTCTAGCAGATAGTGCTCATGTGGCTAGAGGGATCCTACTGTAATTTAGAAGAATTCAAATAATACTGTGAAAAAAAGTTTCATTCCTAATTAAATATCAAATACATACATACATACATACATACATACATACATACATACATACATACATACAAGCATACAAGCATACATACATACATACATATTTCTGGGGTTTTTTAATTTAGTATATTCAGGCAGGGAATAAGTGAATCAGCAGCTCATGTGGATAGAGGGACCCTACTGTAATTTGGAAGAATTCAAATAATACTGTGGAAAAAGTTTCATTCCTAATTAAATATCAAATCTACAGTATATGTATACACATACGCATATATTTATTCATAAATACATATGTATTTATAAATAAATAAACACACACACACACACCCTATACCTACCTACCTACCTACCTACCTGTATGTATGTAAGTATTTATAGGCTGCTTTTCTCTAAGCATAATTCACAGAATATCTCTCAAAATTCACACTGTATTTCAGAAAAAATTCTCAGTCTGGGTACAGTACTTTGATTTACAATTGTAGGAAAGCAACGGGAAAATAACAGTTTTTTTCACACATAAATAAATCACACACACACACCCTATACCTACATACCTACCTACTTACCTGTATGTATGTAAGTATTTATAGGCTGCTTTTCTCTAAGCCTAATTCACAGAATATCTCTCAAAATTCACACTGTATTTCAGAAAAGATTCTCAGTCTGGGTACAGTACTTTGATTTACAATTGTAGGAAAGCAACGGGAAAATAACAGTTTTTTTCACACCATTTGGTACACCTTTAATGCAATACCTACCTACTTACCTGTATGTATGTAAGTATTTATAGGCTGCTTTTCTCTAAGCCTAATTCACAGAATATCTCTCAAAATTCACACTGTATTTCAGAAAAGATTCTCAGTCTGGGTACAGTACTTTGATTTACAATTGTAGGAAAGCAACGGGAAAATAACAGTTTTTTTCACACCATTTGGTACACCTTTAATGCATGGAATATTTTAATTTAATATTCTAAAGATTAGAATGGCACAGTGACAAGGAGATGGCCTTTAGATGCTTGGGGAACAAATCATGGCCTAAAATCTATAATTTCTGAAGGTATCTTTGAAATAAGTCGGTATAAAAAAACTAAGACATTAAGAAATTTAAAAAATTCATCTCTAAATTTTGATCTTAGATGTAATATGAGTGTCTTTAGAAAGGACATAATATAAATGTTCAATAGCCTTACTAATGCTTAATGCTATGACTGCTTGTGAGCTTAACTGTCACAATTTCCTTACATACAGTACCTCTATATCACGAATATGATATTACTTACCAACTGCATTTTTATTACCTCTCATATAAGGCCATCTTGAGGTGAATATAACTGCATATTACTTACTTAACTGCATTTCTATTACCTCTCATATAAGGCCATCTTGAGGCAATCTACAAAATGACCCCTCACAACTCCAAAAGCTGACCATATTGGCAGCTGAACCCTATTTTGATGTAGGCAATGATGTGATGTACTGATGATATGCCCACAGGCTAGCTTAGAAGGCAAAGAGCTGGATGGTTGGGGCATGCAGTTTTGTTTTCTATGAAGCATTTCTGAATTTCAAAAAGTTTAAAAATGTTTATTTATGTTATTTATGTTTTCTGATGGTAGGCTCATATATACTGCAGAGAAAAGACTGCACAAATGTACACTGATCTACTCTGAAAAGCTCTTTTCATATTCCATGCAATGCTGAGCATGCTGATGATAATGCTCCTTCCTCTGTTACTCAAGATACTTTGTTTTTATTTTACATTGCTGTTCTTTCCCCTCAGGGCTTCACTGAGTTCAGCAAAATCACTTACTAACAAGCATGCTATATTATCAAAAATACCAATTGTACTAGTTTCTGTCTGTGATTAAACAAACTTGGACAAGGTCAGGTCCTGAAAGAAAGTCTGAAAAAGGTCAGCCACTCTTTGGAATATACATGAATAAATATATTTCATATCATGCACTGAATCTCAGTGTATCATTATGGCTATGTGTGTTCTTTTTCAAGAACTGACAATGCATTTTCTTGTGTAACAATTGTAAATAATAAGAAAGATAATTAAAGACACATAGGTAGCCATCTACAGTAGCTACACAGAAAAATCAAATCCAAATGTTTTTATGTGTGTATCTCAAACGTTTTTCATGAATTCCATTGTTCAAATATTGCAGATCTCTTGGCAATTTTTTTTCAGTTCCAGTCATCTTCCAGCTACATTCTCTTTCTCCTTCTTGATAAATACATGCATGCATGCAACCACACACAAAGTTTGGGAACCAATGCCTTGGAGATGTTTGCTCAAAAGTGTGTGGTGTGTGTCAGCGAGAGACAGAGATCAGGAGAAATATAAATCGCAAATACAAGATGCTACTCTCACATCTTTCTGAACATCTTCAGTGAAAACTGAAAAGGTATAAAGGCCAGAATCCATCTGAATATTTACACCAGCATAAATGAAATGTAATTTGGAGTTGTAGATATTGGTGTTTGTGCAAGGTTTGTATAGCTTAATCAACATCATGATGTGCCATCAAGTCAATTCTGATGTATGGTGACCCAGCTAATTGTGGCAAATTGATGAGATGTCAGGGAGCATCTCAGTCACATGCCTGGTCACATGCCAAATGCACAACCAAGATGTGTTCTGACATTTAATCAACTGATTGCTGTTAGCCACTGCAAGTTAGACAAAACCAAACACAAACACCAATGGGATTCCAGTCACTGGCTGAAGTTGTGTTGCCCAGTTGTGCAAACGGCATAGGTTTTGGAAGTGAATAGATCATACATCAAGAAATCTCCTTAGACCCCATCTGTTACGTATAGAGTGTGCAACAAATCATGTCCATGGAGATTTCTGAACCTGTGGCAATTTACCTTTAAAAGATACACTGTCTGCATAACTGGGCAACAGGATTTCAGCCAATGAGTGCTAATTACTAGGTGCAGATATGATTTTACTTGTTCCTCAGTGTCAATGCATAGTAGTTGCTAGGAAATGAATAAACAGCTTTGAATGGATAACTGTTTGAAATCTACTTCATGTATATTTCAAATACAAAAATTCCCAAAGCATATGTTTCTATTTTTTACAATACCATTACAAAAATTTTTACTACAGGCATACCTCGGTTTACAAAATTAATTCTATGCGATGTTACATAATGCAGAAATTTCATAAACTGAAATGCCAATTGCACTAGGAAAGGGGCAGCGCTATAGGGGCAATGTGCCCTGGTAATACCCTTTTGTACTACCGGGGAGGGGGGAGAAAAAAACATAAAATGAGGCATTATTTTCTATGGATTTCAGCTCATAAAATTATGTAAACTGAGGTGTTCGCAAACTGAGGTGCCACTGCATATTGTTTATTAAATTCGGCTGCAAGAAAGGGATGAACTTTTTATGAAAGATTATTCCTTTTCACTTAATTCTGAAAACACATGATCTGAACAAGTGGAAGGGATGAGAAACTGAATCCACTGTCACCAGTTCCAACTTGTGTGTAAAATCTATAGGCATGACCTGTAACTTCCTTTAAAAATAAAAAAAGGGTACCTGACTATATAGTGCATTAGAAAGGCTCCATATATACAAGATATGTGTTTGTAGGCTCTGTTCACAGGACATCAGTGGTGGGACAGATCCTGTTCCTCCACCATAAATCCAATGTGTATATTTCTGGACCATGTGAAAAAGGGTTATGGAGAGGCACTGTCATATAAAACATATGTGTATGTACATGCATCTATGGTTTATTTATCTGTTGTTCTTACTGCTTGATGAGTTTCAGAATTCTAACACTGCCTATTAGTTTACACAAGAATTTACAGCATATAATTGTTTTATACAGTATTATTCCCTATTTAGAGACTGTGTACATGAGTGAAAGTCACAACGAATGGCTAGTTATTATACATCCAATTTTTCTCTAGCTAGTGCTCATCACAATTTCCCATTTAAGCAATGACCACAGACATCCACAGTATGAGATATTTATCGGCTCTCACAAGCAGGCTGAGATAAAGCACTGTGAAATTGAACCTGTCATGATCAAAGAGGACTATGATCTGCCCTGCTGTTTTGTAATGGTGTAGTCTAGCTGGTGCTCCTCCTCTCCTCCTGTTCTCTAATCAAAGCATCAAGCAACTATTATTGTGTCCAAGCTTCTTAAGTCCAACTATTACCAACATAATTCAGCAATCAGCTTGCACCTGCAACTAGTAAATATAAGACAAGAAAGAGTTGGTCTTAAATGGGCATTGTTAATTGGTTAAAAGTGTAATCTGCAAAACAAAACACAAAGTGTTTGTTTTAATCTCACCCATTATCGTGAGCCCATGCAAGGCTCAAAGAGGAGACTGAACACTTGCTTGTTAGATTCCTTGGCAAACAGCTTTGGATCAGGCACAAAAGCTAGCCACAGCTTTAGCATTATCCTCTCACATTGATGCCCTGAGTAGGGTCTGTATGCTGCTTCACCCTCATACAGGCCCAGAGCATGTGTATTTTAAGCAAAGGTCACTTCATTCTGTAATAAGGCCATCCACCTTCGGTAGCCCCTAAATGTATCTCCAGAGGAGCCCTGGGGCCCTAGCACAGGATCACTGTAAGTCGGTTATGACTTTTTTTTTATACAAAAAAAAATGTTACACAACTCTTGCCTCAAAAGTCTCCTGTGCCCCCCCCCCAAGTGAGTATCTATGGGGTGGGAGTGGGGATTGATTTTGCCATATTTTCAAGTGACCAATTTTTTTAAAAAAGAAATTTGTTCATTAGAGAGCAAAAGGGGACATTTCCATTTTTTAAAAAATATATATACTGATTGGGTTGAGTAGGAGCCATAGAAGCAGGTGCAATAATCCAGGATTAAGAGGTGGGCACCTGCGGCTTCTGGACTACTAGAAGTGCCCATACTGCCATACTGTCATGAGACTCTACAGGAACAAGGAGGAGGAGGAGAGATAAACCTTAATTCCACCCCTCCCAAATGTCTCGCAATACTCATCAAATAAAAAGCCAGAACCAGCCCCAATAAATCCCACACTACACTTAACTATACCCAGCCCATCACTCTTTCCACTACACCACACTGGCTGCCACAGTCTATGAATGATCATTCAGTTATTGTGCAGAGGAGAATCTTCTCCACTGCACTGCCCACCAGGCGGAATGGTGTCCCTACTGAGAGCAGATGGGCTTAAAGCAACAATTAAAAATGTATTTTAATTGTATTTTAATCATTTTATCTCTTATTGTATTGAATTTTAATTGTTGTAAGCCGCCCAGGAATTAAAGAACCTTGTAATGAGGGTAAAAGAGGAGTGTATTGTATTCTGATTTTTTAAAAACACTGGATTTTTGCTTTTAAATAAAAAGTGATATACAAACTTTCTAAAAGAACTTAATGAGGAGGAGGCTGCTGGAATGTGAAAGAAATGGAGAAGCAGAGAAGGGATAGCATGATATGAACAGCTGTTGGGAAAGTGGTATAGTGAGGAAGAGATATATACAGAGGTCTGGGGGAGGAAGAGACAGCTGCCTGGTAGCCATATCTTCTGGCAGCAGAAGAGTGAGGGTGTGTTAGATAAGAAATCTAACCAGATGCTCAACAAAACCAAGATCTGCCTTTCAAAAACTGATGGATTTGCTTAACCCCGGATCTGTACCTGCTGTCCTCTCTGCAAGGTGCGAGCCCCTATTCAGGACATACAGTGCCTGAAAATGGCCAGTCTTGGGCATTAAAAAACAAACAAACCCAACAACAACAACCAAACAAACAGGAGGCCTGAGATGGGTACTTCTGTTTTGTCTATTTAGTTTTGAGGTGGCGTGGGGGGCTTATATGACCACCACTTCCTCAAGGACCATAAAGTAGAGGAAAAACAAACAAATCACTGTTCCTGGAGGTCTTAGCAGACAGAAAGTCACCAGCTTATGTTTAAAACAGTATTTGTTTCTTGAGGGAAGTCTTATGGATCCACAGAAATGCCTCCAGGGCCACACATTGCCTACCCTGGCACAAACTCATATACACTGGTGGAATCTGAATGTGAATTAGGGTCCAACTTGAATCCAGCTACTAGCTGATGCATCAATCACAATTCTAGAAGAGATGCTTCCTTTAGTCCAAGTTTGACCTTCAAACTCCAAAAACTTCAATCACTTATTCTGGAAAGATTTCTAGAATTTAGTGGGAATTGAGTTTAGTTGGAACTGTCATTCCAAAATAAGCCATTTGAAGATCACATTGCAAATCTTTCCTTCACTTTCTGTTCACAGAGTCATATACCCTTACCCTTATAAAACAGTTCTGTGGTTATAGGTAATTTTACACAATTGACTTCCAAGTTACATGCTATGGGGATAAATAGACACAGTAAATTGCTAAAGTAACCTCCAGAGTCAAAACTAATGTTAAATGCTGTATCTTTACTGGAAACACATTATAAGATACAATGTTTCAATCAAAATATACTTTAAGGCACAGTAAAATGGCTTTGTTTACAACCAGAGCATGTGAAAACCAAGTTTGGATTTTCAAAAGAGGTTAATGGAGTTCAGTGCTCAAATCTCATCAAGATTTGTGGAAATTAGATGCTAAATTCCCTTTGGCTCCTACAATATTCTCAATCCTGTTTGATTTGATAGTTGGTAAATCCAAGCAATTTGTTCTCTCCTGCTATCACCTAAAAGAAAACGAACTGGTGGAATTAGAGAAAGTAGCAATAGTACTTCAAACAGGCCTTTTGTGGGTCATTACATTCAACCATACACAACAATCCGTGTTTTTAATTCATAATGTTATTGACTGCAATATGTTAGCACCAATCTCTGAGCTCAACTGAGTTCAACTGAAGTCAGGCAAAACCTCATTGCAGGTCATCAAGGTATGGGTTTGGCATGGAGTGGCTACTGGGAGAGGCTTTCTCTGAGCTTCAACTGAAATGTAGTGGCTGCTGGCCAATCTGTGACTGCAAACTTGAATCAAATCAAGCTCAGATAAACCTGCCAATCACTGGCTGCTTTGCAGCTGAAAATGCCCAAGATGCTGGGTCAGATTTCCATTTGGGCACTGAGCACAGTATGTGGGCAACATGGCTTACAGCAACTGTGGGCATAAAAGCTGCTTATAAAAGCAAAGTGTGCTGCTTATATACCGCCCCATAGGGCTTCAAGCACTCTCTGGATGGTTTACAAGTTAAATATGCACGCTACACATTGCCCCCCCCCCCAGCAAGCTGAGTACTCATTTTACCAACCTCGGAAGGATAGAAGGCTGAGTCAACCTTGAGCCGGCTACCTGGGATTGAACCCCAGGTCATGAGCACACTTTTGGCTGCAGTACAGTGGTTTAACCACTGTGCCACGAGACTCATAGAAAACATTCCAATTAGTTTGTCAATCCAAGAAGCTCTCATTGTTTCATAACAAATAACACATGGACATTTCACTAAAAATGTACTCAGCATCATGCTACAGAATAAATGTTGCTTGTCTTCAGCAAGTCAGAAAGTAAATGAAACCTTTGTTTGCTTTCAAGTGACCTCTCAGACCACATTGCTTAAACAAATTTGCCTGAGCAAGGCAAGGCCTGGTCATACTCAAAGCCTTGTTACACCTTGTGCAACAAACACAATCTGCAATGGCATCTTCAGTAGAAATTTAGCTACAGAAGAGGTTGGACCACTGCAATTCCCCCCACCTAAAACTAAGTGTGTTAAAGGAGAATAAGAGTACAGGAAAACTTAATTATTAGCATGTCTTCAATGCAGAAGATGTATCACAGATTCTGTCATTTGAACTTTCAGGAAAGAACACTGTGAAATAGCAGTGACCAGACCTCTTTTAAAACCCCAAACAATGAATTTTTTGAGGTGGGGGGAAACAACAGATAATTAAATCTGAGTGGTATCCAGCTTTTGCATATACCAACATAGCCTCTTCCCACTCCCCACTCCCATGGAATTTAAGGCAAACAAACAAACAAACAAACAATATTATAGAATTGTGAAGATGCTGCAATGGGACAAATGGGGATCTTTTTGCTTAGAAAAAAAAAGCAAATTGGGATATAATTCAGGCATATAAAATTGTGTCTAGCATAGGGAATGGATTGAAAGATTTTTCACCTTTTCTAATGTCTTCTGTCACATCAGGTCTTGTAATGAAACTGAGGACATGAAACTAACCATCCATAAAAGGAAGTAATTCATGTACCATATCTTTAAACTACAGAGTTCACTAGATTCAGCGATGACCACTGTGGTGTTCGCCTAGTGCCCCCTTGCTGATCATCAAAACGCAGAGTGCACAAAGGCAAACAATCCCCTCTTTTACACTGCTGCCACCAGGTGATCACTAAATCACCATTACTTCAGGAAGATGATGATTCAGGTCCACACTTCAAAGTCTCTTAAATATAACATTTGTTTATTGATTACAGAAAATGATAGTGAACCATGAATATCTTCTTTGGGTAAATTTCTTATTAACAACAATCTTCTATTTGATAATACACTCCTAACTCTAATCACCTCTCAGATTTCCCCAAACTCCACACTCTATCCACTATCTCACTCTACTCATCTCTGGCTCTTACTCTCACTGACTTGCTCTGACTAAATCCCTCTCAGGCTCTGCTTCTTATCATATCTCTCTCGGCTCCACCTCTCAGCATCATGAATATGCATGAACAATTAACATAACCAAACATAAACCATTGACATCATAAAGGGGAAAACTACAACCACCAACTTACATGGCTTTTAAAAAGACTGGAGAATAAGGACACCAAAGGGTGCTGGGTAAGATATGTATGTAATGCAACTGGTATCAAATCCAGCATGTTTTCAAATACTACCTGCTGGGGAACAACAGCTAGAGAGGCCTATTCTCCTCATGTCCCTTTTGGGGGTTGGGGTTGTGTTGGGTGGCTTCTCAAAGGTTTCTTTTTGGATACTGTGGAAAACGGAACACTGGACTAAATGGGTGGAATCTATCTAATTTGTTTATTTTATATGCCATTCTTAAATCACAAAGTGGTTTATAAGACCAACTGATCAAACATAAGTACTAACAAAGCAGTACAATTAAAACCCTAGACCTTCATCAGATGCAGCCAACAATAAGAAAATAAATATCACAGAACTCTTCAACAAAAGAGAAGGTTCTCCACAACCAACGTCAAAAGGACACAAGACCAAGGTGAAGAGGTGTGTCTTAAGCAAGTGGGCTAAACTGGGCATTACGTATATGAAATACATACAAGCACACAGCTAAAATACCTTTCTTATTTATTTACATGACACTAACCACAGTTAGGGCC